AATTTATTACAAAGTTTGTATTAGTTTGATTTATTAGATAAATAGATTACGACTTCCGTAGCTTTATTGAATGATACCAATTAGAATTATCGTAGATTTTTCACCATAATTTCTTTCCGAAAAAGTATTTTCGTTGCTGTTCGAAATCAGTCCATAGTTTTGGTCATTAATCCACTCCTTCCGCACTACAAATCAAAGGTAAAGAGCGATCAAAAAGTCACTGGAGAGAAAAATAGCGCAAGATTCAATGAAATGTTACTGTTTTTTCAACATTTCCCCTCTAAATTCTTCAGATTTTTAGACTCGAATTTTCAAAAGTTCGTTTTCTCAATGAAAACTCTTGCTTTATGTGGACAGTGACTCTCTTTTGACTAAAGATATTGCTGTCTTGATCAAGCTACCACGTTTTCAACACTAGATTTCTGAAACCAATGCGCACTTTAAAAGAATTTGGAAATTTCCTTGCTTTACTAGAAAGGTCTTAGGGAAAGGCTAACTGATAGCAGAAATTCATGTAGAAAAAAGGTGTGAATTTTCAGATTAGAAAAATACGAGATTCTGCGTATAGAAGGGGGGTACAATAAAAGTATAATGAAGTATTGAGTTTCATGATAGATCAGAACTACGTTAATAAAAATAAAACATAATCAATAACTTCTACAGTAATCTATTAATTATCATGACCAATATATTCAACTTTCTTATAGTACATCTATTTATTGATAACAATGTTTACAACACTAATATTTACAATGAAGAAAAATACGAGAGGAATTTTTCTGAACGAACAAATGGTTCTTGTACAACAAGACATTTTATTTTTGCACAAGTGAGACGTGCTGCATCATTGGTAAAACTTAGTGTTGCAGTTGCTAATGTTTCATATCGAATGGTGAGATGCGTCAAACGAGGTAAACTAGTGTTTTTATCGAAGAGAAATTGTACGGCGTAGTCAAGATGTGCCCTCTTAAGATCGAGTTCGAACAGATAAGGAAATGTAATAAATGTAGACGAATGTTGGTTTGTTTTTTGTGATTGCAAATTAGTAATGAATAATTTTTGGAGAAAAGGAAAACCTTGTGAAATAACTTGAAATAATTCATTTTCAAATGGACGTATATCTAACATTACCAACCATCGAACTTTATTGAACGTACCACCTTGAAAACCACTGGTCATAAATATAAAATCGTTGAAATGATATGGAAGTGAATAGACATGGCAGTAGCCTCTATTATAAGTCAGTTTCTCATCAGCGTATGAATCCACTTGTTGGTACCCTCTTTCGATGAAACTATTGAGAATATCGCTCTTCGATGGAAGATTAATTTCAATGTGGTCGTTGATAATATGAGTGTGTATACTAAAAATAAATTTGTTTAGTCGTGGCATATTAATGAGAAAATCATTGTGTAATCGAGTACCATCAATATAAGTCAATTCATTTCCTATTATCGAAAGAAATAATGTTAATGCTTCAAGATTTAACATTCGACGAAGTAATGGAACAATACGATTGCTATAAACATATGTATACCAATACGATGCTAGTGTTAAACATTTCAACTTTGGAAGATTTATCTAAAGAAAACGAAACAATCACTAAATTTCAAAAGATAGATTTATTTATACTCAATGATCATATTTATACTTACTGTATTATCTATATTCAATGATGAATCGCTAATTTCAATTATATGAATGATCAATATAGATAAATGTTGAAGGCGTCCATCAAGAAGATACAGACAATCATCAAAAGTACTTACAGTAATTTTCAATTTAGTTACAGTTGAAGATACACAACTTGTTGATGGTAGATTAGAAAATGAAACTTTTGTACGTTCAGTAAATGTCAAATCAATTAAACATTTACTAATAGATAGTGTCAATGCAAACATATTTAATTCATTTCCACCAGGTATTTCACTTATTTTATAAGGAATATCGACTGTAAGATGTGTGATTTGATCAGTAAGAAGACGAAGTATAGTATCACCTTAAATGTAAAAAACAAAAACACCAGTAATTCATGAAAACAAATAAAAATTCACAACTATACTTGTTAAATATTGTAAGTGTTTCTGATTGAAAATTGACTAGTGATAAGGAATTAAGTTCAGAATAATCAATAGTACCAAGAATACATCCTATAGAAAGTGGTTCAACAGTGAATTTATTTACTTTATGATGAATTTGAGGTAAGACTTGTGTACGAATTCGATCGAAAATTTGATTATTTACTAGAGAATTATGAGAAAGCAATGGTTTGACCGTTAAATCTAGATGTTGAATATAGAAAGGATTGAGTACTAAACGATCAAATCGTTGATTCACATTCACTAGTGAATAGAGCATTTCGATCGTATGTAGTTTGTTAAATATGCAAAGTAATATCTCATCAGGTAAATCGAGTATATTAATATCGTTATTATTTAAAGTGTTCATGTTCATATCTAATTTTTTTTATTATGATCAATCTCTTCCTCCATATATATGTATAATATGTATATGTCTTGAACTTTCTCATTGCCGTCTGTCGGAATAATATTGATATAGTCATGTTAGGCAATGATGAATAAGTAACACTATTTTTTTCTTTCTGCCTAAAATGTTTTTTTTTTTATTAACAAAGAATAGATATAATGCGGTCGTTCTTGATATGTTACGATATTTATCATATATTAAATACATTATAGGAAATAGCATGATGTTTAGATGAAGTTAAAATCTATATTCAAAATCTTTTATCAAATAACATTGCTGATGTATTTTGTTAAAATCCAATTAAGACTGTAAGAATATAAAATGACTCTCATCCTAAACTATCTTCATCTGAAAGTTTTCTCAATAGATAATTAAACCTCATGAAATGAAAGAACAAAAAAAATAGAAATCTTATCTTCATTATTCTCAATCATAGCTTTATTGTTTGATAGATTTTGTTAAATATTATTCTATGTAACTTAATTTGTATTCATTATTTGTCATGATTAAAGATTGTTTCGTTGAAAAATACTGTTATATGAAATCGATTGTTTATTGTTCATCTTTATTACATAATAAAAAATTTTCATCACATCATATAGACAATGCTGAAGCTCTAGCTGATATAAGCGGAAACAATTACATACATAAAATAAAAAGAAACAAGCGTTATAGCAATAAGAAACTTGTTGAAATACGACAAAAACAATCTTTAAATCAAATCATCTCTTTCTCTTCTTTATGGAGAATGTTACGTATCATTTTCTGGTACTAGTTCACTTTAGACAGCTCTCACACTTTGATGTGTGGTGTGTTAATCATACCAATTAGAACGAGCGGCATGTCTAAAATAAACGATTACTTACTTAAAAACAAAATAAGGCGGATGAGTATTTTTTGAATAACTTTTGATAGAAGCAAGATAGAGAGCTGCGGTTTTCATCGTTGGAAAGATGAAATGAGATGAAGACGCATCGAACTGTATCCCATGTGATGAAAACCGGCGGCTTTTCTCGCTTTACCGGCTCCCTATCGGTTAACCGGTGCTTTTCAGCGGTAAACCGCGGTCTACCGCTAAAACTGATCCGGTTTTTGTGACATGGGATATTACAGAATAATTTGACTTAGTTTTTTTTATCAAGGACTTACCTCGATGCTTTTTAAAACTAGCGTACTCCGTCAGGTGACTAAAGTTAATTTTCAATAATCAGGTGTGCATTCGAATCACTAAATGAAGATCTACAAAACTGTGCAAGCTCCAGACTTTCAGATTTATTTGTTTAGGAGTTACAGACATTCTATTCGAAGTCTTTAGCCGATTTTTCTATTAATTTCTGTGGAAAAAATAATCACTTTTTTGCATTTTTTTGATTTTAAGATACACCAATTTTTGGCACTTTTTTTTAGAAAATTGATTAAGAATACTTTAAAAATCTTCTCATTTTGCTTCTAAAATGTACATATTCTAAGTTGATGAAGACACATATTAGAATAGTATTCGTTTTTGCTGGTTACTTTTGTTTTTTCTTTGTTCTTAATCAGTTGTACTTTTCTCTTTTCAAGTAATAAAAAAGAACCTGCGAAATAATGAAGCAATTAAGAGAGAACTAATAAAAATGAAACAAAATTCTGTCCGATTGGAAGAAAATCGAGGTATGACTGGAAAACTTGATGTTATTGATTATCTTGAATATTGTGCAAAAACTGAACAAGGTTATTATGTCTAACTTTAAATCTGATTTTATTCAATATTCAATGCTTTTTTTTCTAGGTGTTCACAAAATATTTGAATTTGCAACACGTTTAGTATTGATGCACAAATGAAAACAAAGAGGTGATTGTTTACTAATCTGAAATGAGAAAATTGTTATTGCTACTATGTATTTAATCGATCTAATAAATCAATGAACAATCATCTTTTTTCTTTTTGGCATTTAAATATTTCAAACAAAAGCCTTTATCTTATATAATTGTTATTCTTTTGGTGTATTGCACATTTCTCTTTTTTACATTTACTTATACAAAGAAAAAAAATCATAAGAATAATAATTTATGTAAACATATAAGTGTGAATTGATAAATAAAAGTCAATTAAATTATTATAAGTTTAATATGTCTTCATCTTCAGTATTCATTTGACTAAAATATACGAAGAAAATGATTTTAAACAGACAAGAAAAGAAAAATAGACCTTGTATTTGATGGTGTACTTGGTAACGACGCAATATTAGATTTAATTGTTCGTATTTCTTCTTCTTTTGTCTTCTTATTATCTTTTTCTAAAATGAAAATAATTAAATTTTATTATTGTGGTTTTTATTTAATCAATCAGAGTACTGAGTTGGAAAAAAGATTATTCATTTATTCATCCAGTGGTCTCTACTTATATATGTTGGAAATTTTATAAAAATGTTTATGATAAAAAAAATAAAGATATGCATTACCAATTTGAACTTGTTCAAGTAGATTTGACTGAATATTGAAAGAAATCTAGATAAAAAAGAATATTATATCTAAAATCGAGAACAAAAAGTTATTCTATTTACAGTAATTGGTTGAATTCGTTCTTTATTAGGATCATCAAGATCATCATCACCATTTAAACTTGATTTCATTTCTAGAATTTTTTTTTCATAAATTTAATCTTAATTCTAAGATAATTTCAATACATACTTTTACTACTTGTATCACCTTTGACTAAGTTATCAACATCAGGCAAATGATCAGCAGTTCTTTTGCCATCTTTTTTTTCACTATCAGTATTTGAGCTTGATTTCATCTCTAGAATTATTTTTTTTTTCATAAATTAAATCTTAATTTTAAGATAATTTCAATAAATACTTTTACTAACTGCATCATTTTTAAGTAATTTACCAACATGAAAATGATCAGCTGCTGTTTTTTCATTTTTTTCATCATTATTATCTATATCAGAAAAAATAAATTACTCTTTATATATGACATTCTTTTAAATTTAAACCAATATCATGAATGTCTTCATCACCATTAGCATCAAAATTAACTTGATCTCGATTTTCGTTCATTTGTTCAAGTTTGTTTTCTTGATCAGATATTGTTTTCATTTCTTCATCATCACCTACATTTAAATAACAATAAAAAAATCTTCAAATTTATTTTCAAAAAATGACAACAAACCTTTAACTTCATCAACATCTAGAAATATATAATCAAATTATATATTAATAAACAAAATATCTTTACCTTTCATATCATATTGATCTTTATCTTCATCTCCATATTCATCACCAGATGGTTCATTACTTGGACATTGAAGCTCTTCACCTACAAAGTAAATACAGATCTAAAATGTTATACACAAAACGAGAAATTACCGTTTTGTTTTTTTCCACTGATACTCTTCTTCCATTCCATCATTTACAGCTTCAGCAGCAGTACGACTCTTTTCGATTTCGTTTTTATATTGAATTTGTTTTTGTTCAATTAATTGTTGATTTCCAGTTTTATTTGCTTCTTCTAATTCTTGTTTGACATCCTTTTGGTTCTTTCTTTGAAAATCATAGACCAATTCATAAATATTCAACTATAAAGAAAAAAGTGAACTAGTAATGTCAAAAGGATTTCAGTTGTCATTTACCCGACCAGCGAGTTCACCTGGTAACAGTTGATCATTATTATCTTGACTCATTTTTTGTATTATCTAAAACAAATAGACATATTGCCATCAGACAATTTAGTGAATAATAAATGACGAAACGGCCGGCAAAAAAAAACAGAAACGAAAGGACGAAACGATTAGATACGAGTGGACAGTAGAAATGATCTACTAGTTGATGGGAATGACTCATCTCATCATTTCTATGATGAATATTCAGACAAAAAAACAAACCATATGATGATAGACGAATAAGAGAAATATCTTTGCGTTTTCTTCGTCACGATGCTTTCGATAAAATAATTTTCTTTTTTTTTACCTTCTAAACCTATACTGTACGACTCATATCTCTTGTCGTTGCCATTAATAACATTCTAGATATTTTATTATTATTAATTATTAATTAATTTAAATGAAAACAAATTTTACATGCTAATTCAGCTTTTAATTGATTTAACTCTTATATTGATCTATTTCAAATTTCTCCGGCGAATTTCAATAGTGTTATTTTATCAAAAATAAGTTTTAGTTGAATATTTGTAATCATTTCATAATCACGTTCATTTTTTGATTAAACTGAATGAGTCTAATCAAGAAAAAATAAATGAAATTTATTTATTTTAATAATTAATCTTACATAATGAAAAAGAAATGATCGAAGTATAACAAATATTGGAGTTTTATTTGATGTAATAAAATTAATAAATGATAAAAGAATTGATGATACATTCGATTGTTTATTACACATTAATTTTATTGATTGAGCTATTCTTTGCCATTCACGTTTTAATTGTTTACTAAGATCAATCATTTATACTTTTAATGCTAAAAAATCAAATTATCGATATAAAAATTTAGTTAATCAAACACATTTACCTAATAAAGATGCAGTTTGTAAAAGATCTTTTAATTGTTTCATAGATTTATATGTAAAACTACTATTCTATAAAATAGTTTCACCAATAGGTAAATGTTGTTTTCCACCACCAATACCAGATCCACTAGTTATATTTGTCCTGATGCTCTACTTCGAGGTCCATTTGATGCACCTATAACTGATACACGTTTTGGGTGTGGGTGGGTGTCGGTGTGGGTGTGGACGGGTGCGAGGTGGATGTCGGTGTGCTTGTTTTTGTTTTCGAAACACCCACACCCTCAAGTAATGAATCAGTTAGCTTGTCATAATTGATCTTTCCATTTACTTCTAAATTACTCCATGCATCTACTTTAGTCAATTACTATTTAACCAGCACTTTTATCTAATACTTTTCAAGCGCTTGTGAAAGCTTCTGAATCACTGTTTTTTATTTGTTTTTCAGATACTTTTTCTTACTGTACTTGTTCGAAGGACACTTACATTGACTGAGAAATTTTTTGAAATAACTACAGGGTGTCCCAAAAGTCACCTACCAAAAAGAAAATTGTATATCTCCACTGTATTCTGACCAAATGAGCTGAGTTTTTTCCTGATGATAGAGAAAACTTCTAAGTTTTTATTCATCAGCAAAAAGTTGAATAGCATCGCTTAAAGCTATTATCATTCATTTAGAAGAGAAATAGTCATATTTCTGCCAAAGATAAACGATAGATTTGGGGTTTTTGTAATCTGATGCAAATTCTTCATGTTCTTAGATTTTCTCAAATTTTTAATAATTTATTTGAATCCTTGAGTTTTTGCCAGCCTANCATACCCATATTTTCCCATCACGGATTTCCAATCGGTATTGTCATTACCAATTTTAGCGTTCCAATCTCCTGTCAGAATAAGTATATCCTTTTTGTCTGTCTTTGTAAATGCTTCCTCAATATCGTTATAGAATGCTTCAATATCTTCTTCTGAAGAGGAAGAGGTTAGTGCATATACGTGTATTACTGAAATTTTAAATGGTGTTGCATCGAATCGTGCCGAAATTATTCTTGAGCTGGTTGGATTGTATCCTATTAATGCCTTTGTAGCTTGTGTGCTTAGTAAGAACCCCACACCCCTCATATGTGAGGATCCTTCTCCTGACCAAATGAAATCTCCATTCGGTGTTTCACCTTTTTCTGTCCATCGCACTTCGAAAATACCCATTATGTCGTATCTGAAACGTTTCATTTCATTTCTAAGTAATTCTAGCTTGCCAGCAGTCCATAGTGTCTGCACATTCCATGTTCCTACTGTCATAGTATTTTTGGCAAGTTTTAGTTTTTGCGTGTTTTTGTCGTATATGAATTCTTTCCAGTCGCCAATTTTTCGACTCTGCCCTGGTCACTCAACAGAGGACGCGGACCTTGTTCACCCGGGTGCCGTCCGAGCCGGTATGGTTTCGTGTTGAAGTCGTTCATGATTGGTTTCTGTCGTCTTGTTCTTTTTACAGACGGCGGTATCTGCACCCCTTCCATCAAGTGCTCCTCCTTTATCCGGGTTTGCGACCGGCACAGAAGCCGCTGGATTTTGGTCTCTATGGTGGAGTTGCTACATTTCATCCAATCACATAAATCAATTTTTTGCCGAGAACAGTAACAATAGAAAGAGGAAATGACGACATGAATATTTCTCGTCGATCATTGTTCTGTTCGACAATTAAATATCATGAGAAAAAAAAACGTCTGTATAATTAGTAGAGCGTGGTTAGTGAAGTATCAACGAAAAACTATATATATGTCTTACATTATTCTGTCTAGAAAAGTTAGAATTTCTGAAATCCAGGGAAAATATTATAATACACTTACAGTTTTCTGAAGCCCATATTTAGTAATTTTTCTTGGAAATTATCGATTAGTGCCATTTCACAAGAAAAAAAACCTGTTAAAGATAGATTATAATATGGATATCATTAGCTCCAATTTTGACTTACGTACGTATGAATTGTAAGTAAAACAACAATAGGTTATTTCATAAAATGAAATTTAGTCTGAAAAAAAAGAATGAAGTGATGCAGATTATGAATGCTTTGTAACAGATCAAAAACATAAGAATATAGATTGTCTCGCGGAAAAAGAAAGGTTTATTAAGGGTTGAAAATCAATCATCGAATAAAATCAATAATGAATTTATCGTATATATCCAACCAAGAGATGTACCAGAATTGATGTAATTCACGCCTCTCCTTGCCTGTATGTTCATGCATCAGATGTCACTAACAGCAAGCACATAACATTTTTATTTGATTAGTAAAGTTATAAGAGTAGGAAGAGGCAAGCTGGCTTACATTCCCAGAGTTTTGAGAGCGGTTACAAAAAACATATTGATTCGAAAAATATTAAAATATATATATTTTAAAAAATTTACAAAAAATAGAGAAAAAAACAGTTAGAATTCAATGTATCAAAAGAGAGAAACCGTATAAGTGTTTGAAAAGAACATTCGTATAAAATTTAATAATTTTCAAGGAAAGTTTAAAGTTTTCTAACGTATCGATTTCAAAGTACAAGCAAGTTTCCTTAAATTGGCTGTAATAATAAGAATACAATCTCAGAAGATTAGTGAGTCCCACTATCTTCTCCATGCTCCAGAAGTTCTTTATACATAGTTTCTTCTTCTTACATGCAATGAAATCCGATTGCTAATCAATACAACTATAGAGACTTGTGATCCTGAATTTGTATTTGTAGGGGTTGATATCTGCAGATTTTTGAGTTTGAACATTCGTTTCGGAAACAAGAAAATAACTCGATTTGTATGAGCCTTCTATTTAGGTCAATTTCTAATCAATTATTAATTATTTTTTTAAAAATTATAATAATTAATTATAATTAATCAATAATTTTAATTAATGTTTTTCGAGTATTTTTCATGGAAAAAATGCCGTTTTCGTGTAAAAAGTATTGTATATATATTAGAATACATTGCCATTCTCGGAATAAGAAGAGAAAAACAGTATTCTTTGATTAATTATTAAATAATATTTACTGAAAATTAAGATTTATTTGTAATTAATTCATTAGTGTGTGGCGTTGTAATACAAACAATGAACTTTTGTTTGGACACAGCCTTGTATTGGACGTGAACCTCTAAGACGAGGTAGCCTTCTTTTTTTTTCGACGTTATTTCATCTCCCCACTTTTTGGCTAACATCATATTCATTTAATCCCACTGCAGTGCTAATCACAAGAGTGTTTGTTTCAGCGAAGACTGTTGACTATATAGCAGAAGTTTGCTTCATGATAAACCACTGAAATTTCGGTTCATACTATTCTTTCGATATTGATGCCAGTAAAGTTAGCACTCGCTTCAATATATCTTATTCGGATTCGTCTATATATTTCTTCTATTTGTCTAAATGGTTCTATTGCAAACAACATCGAATTTAGCGTCGATTGCCTATGTTTCAGAGTGTCCTAATCGAGCAAAAAACGGAGTTTTCAGAGTCAAGACCAATGTCCATTTCAAAGAAAGATGCGTGGGTATTTTTTTGAATAGCTTTAGAACAAATTGAGCTAGAGAGTTGCGGCTTTCACCATTGAAAAGAGGAGATGAAGACGCATCGAACCATATGTGAAAATATTTTCTGAATGCTATACTAACAGTTTTAGTGGAACGTTTTCAAAAGATTGCTTTTTCTGATACGTGAAGAAGTTACTTTTGGTCAAAAAAAACTACAAAAACTTAAGTTTTTAGATTAATTTGTTGAAAACGTTGAGTGGTAAAAGGTACTCCAGTGGCTATGATATCCCACTAGTAATGGTTAGGAATAGAATTTCTATATAATTTTGTAGTTCTTGATTTGGTGGTTCTAGTACAGCCCTGAAAGCTAATAAATTAATATCGCGACTACGAGAGACACGCTGTTTTTCTGGAACCGTCATGTAAAACTGCTAGAAAAGGAGTCAGGGAAATGTTTTCATATATGATTCGACATGTCTTCATCTTCTGTTTTCAATGGTGAAAATCGCAACTCTCTAACTCAATCCATTCATAAGTTATTCAAAAAATATTCACTCGCTATTTTTTAAATGGGTATAAGTAATTTACACGATTTTATTCAGCTGCTTGGGTTCTACGTCTCGTCTTAGCGATTTTTCTGAGTGAAGCATTGAATGTTGGATAGATGATTTTAGTGGTTTGTAGCATTTGAAGAATCGCACTAGTTCTTCTATTGTTGGTTAGCAGTTTATTTATTTGGTTTGAAAAGTTATATTTGTTCCAGTTTTGGTATAGACTTAATGTGAGAGCTTAAAAAAAGATCTCATATTGCATATCTGAAGATTTTAAATTTGGGTACTCGTCTTGTGGCCTTTTTAAGATTCCAGAAAAATAAGGTTCCCTTTTAAACTTTATTTTTCTCCTTCCAAAAATGATTCTGCCATGGTAAAAAAACATTCTATGTCGATATTAATATCACTTTATACTGATTTTTCTTTCCTCTATATAAATACAGACTGAATAGAGTAGCTTACCGGCACCTTCGGTAATAATGCTAATGCATATTGACTACTTCACACAAAGTACATGCTTATGTAGGAGAGAGCAAGCAAGACAGAGATAAGGACAGAAAAAGAACAATATAGACAAAAGCAAGAGGAAGGGAAGATCAGTGGGAAGTAATACCAATATTGGCATACAGTCCATCCAGCACATATAGTATGGTAGTGCTGAATAAATCTGTATCCCACTTATATATTTATTTGAAAAAATTATTTCTGTATCTAGTTTTGCCTGAAAATCATCTTTTTCAGTGTTCTTGTTCATAAAAAAGATGAAAGATCAAAGGAAGAGAATCGAAAGAAACATATCATTTATCAGTTTTGTTTGTATTGCTGATTAGTAGTAGAACTAAGCGTTCTGAAGAGATTTGTCAAAAGTAATCATGGTCAATTTTGATTTTGAGAAATAAAAGTAAACGACATACTCTTCAGTAGTTTATCACCAACAAAAATGGCTAGTTTTCATTTTGTCAATATTTTCTCGCCGATGGTTCACTTTATCTGCCTTATAGACAAAGAGAACAAATAGTATACTGCAAAAAGATATCGTTAAAAATTAAAAATAGCATTAATTGAGTTGAACTGCTAGAGTCATATATAGTTGAAGATTAGAAATCGCATGATACCATTCTAAAAAGAAAACTTTCACTGGAATTGGCAACTAGGTGTGAGTAACCTCACTTCTCATTGAGACTTTTGCTTACTCTCAGTTGAAGAGTTCACTTTACCAGCATGGCAAATAAAGTGAACGTTTTGAGATACGTCTTTTTATACCGCTGATTACTCAATTATTAGAATAGCCACAAATCTTTTATTTTCATTTGAGTAGATGCAGAAATCAAATCTGTTTCTCGTATTATAAAAACAACAAATTTAGTTCTTAAAAAAATAAGATCGAGGCAGTGGAAATACGCACGTTCGTACAAAGTATTCACTTTATTAAAATTGACTCGAGGTGTCTAGATTATTGGTAACCTCTAGTAAGCACATTATTCTGATAAGATTTGTCATCTGTTTCACTTTGCGATGACAGAAAAATAGCGCTAAAACGAACAAATCATTTTTCAACTGAATGCGTCATTCGCCCATTCATCTCAGTTTACTATTTAGAGAAGTATTTTACACACATCAGAATTGATTTTGAAGTTTCTCACATGTGATCTTGAGTTAATCATTAACAGCTAAGAAATACTTTTTCATCTCATCCAAACATTAATAAGCAATGCGATACCATTTTATTTAAAATGGATGAACAAAATTTAATAGCAGCCGGAAAATTATCTCAACTAGGCAATATTATTCAAAAAAATACCTTCATCATTAAATGATTCTCTATTATTTTTCTCAATTACATACAGATGCTATGTCATTCATTGATGTATTCTTAATACGTCACATCTCTTACATACAAGTTTTTCTAATATTGATTAAAAAATGAACGATGATGTATTATTCACATGCTTGTTTCATTCATTGTTCTCACTTTCTTTCACTATAAGTTCAAATGACATACGAAAAGATTAATTTATTATAATAATGAAAAATATTTTGTGATTAAAAAGGAACTCATTAATGTGTTGAAGAAATTTACGAATAGATATGGTGCATCATTTGATATTGTGGTTGATGTTATCAATGTACTCTTCGACGTGGCAATTGAAGAACTCGTTTTCGTTGGCGTGGGTGTTGTTGTTACATTGATCACTGACAAGTTAATAGGCAAGATATATTCATGTGATAACATCTGAAAAATCTCAATGGCAGTTGTATTGTATCCACAGATTGGGGTGTTACAATAATATGTAACACCTTCGATCAAACTTTTTCCTATTCCACGTGGCTGATATAATTGAATCCATTGAACTTTCAGTGAATTGTTTATATGTTGACATCTACCTGTAACGGTTGAACTTTCACTGCTTTGCTGATAAACATATGTAACGAAACAAAACGATTCATTTTGAAGACAAGAATTATTACTGAAACATTTGATAGGATCAGTATTATTTTGATTATAAAGGCGAGAGACAAGTTTTTCACGAATAGGTTGTACTTGTATTGCAGACCAATTTGATGATAAGGTTTCACTTACAAAGTCGATATCACAATAATCGGATACTGAACAATGATATCGAATATTTGCTATTACTGATGTATCATTCAATGCAAAAATAGTTTCAATTGTAAGTCTATCATCGATTAAAACCGACCGATTTTCAGCATTAAATGATCCATTGACAAGACCCGTAGTAAAATCAATTGTCAATTTAACTATACATTGCTGCTTAGTATCATCATACGATTTTGATATTGAACAAATATCAGACGGAAATGAAGAGTTTAATTGTAAACCTTGAAATGAACAGTTCTTCGAACATTGACTTGATTCAATATTTGGCAATGTAGACAAGAAAATAAATATGAAGAGAACATACATAGTAATGGAATGTATCAGGACGTTGACAGTATTATTACACAGGTATTGAAAAATAGTGGATATTTATACGATCCTGTTCTCTTCTATCCGCCTTTTCATTAGTAAATATGTGACAAAAGACGACGTCACTCTTTCAGCTTCTTATCGATAGGTGATTCATGAAGTTAGATTAAGAATATTGGTGTTATATTTTGTTTGACGTATGTGACTGAAAACGAGAAAAGTGGGTGTTCTTTATTTACTGCATTCGGTCTTGTTTCAATGAATCACAAAAACTAGATTGAGTCGATATTACAGAATGAGTTGTGCCTTTTGGTTTTTGAAGAAAATATTCAAAACTTTATTTCAAGTTGAATAATTGTGTTGGATTAGTGTCTTCATATTTTAAACTATATTCCACGAAGTATAAAAATAATCAAATGAAAAGACAAAGATTTTTTATTATTGTTGAACGTGCCAATACAAAATAGAGAAAAAGGACGTAACTACCAGAGATGAGCACATGACAAGATTTTCCGTCCTGCCCTGTTCACTGCACACCAGAGACCGAAACGAGTCAAAAAAATCTGATTCGACTCGACTCGACTCGACTTAAGTATTCACTCGATTCGATTCGACTCGACAGACATTTGAAAATCGGTCGGTTTTAATCGATGATAGACTTACAATTGAAACTATTTTTTCATTGAATGATACATCAGTAATAGCAAATATTCGATATCATTGTTCAGTATCCGATTATTGTGATATCGACTTTGTAAGTGAAACCTTATCANACGCTCTAATTGATCCACAATTAGAGCTCAATCTTCTGATCACAGAGATGATACTTTGAGGTTTTCTGGGCTGGAGAACTCGAATCTGTACTCCACTTACCTCGAAATCCTATTGGTTGAGGGGTAACCAATAGAAATCAAGTGATAGAAAAAAATGACTTTCTTAGCGTAGATCAAGACGACGAATTCAAATCTGAGCTGTATTCGCCTCCAAGTCATATTGGGTGAGCAATAGCCAACAAAGTCAAGTGTTTATAGGAAAGATTTGCCAGGATAATTTTGATGCCCACACATTCTAGGATGACTCATCTGTCTAATTCACTTTTTGAAGTACACATAACTCTCGGATTTAAATCCGAGGTTTCCACATTTATTTTTTTTCTAGTTTCCTCCACCCGACTTCTCATTGTTGGGCCGAATTATAATGGACAATAAAAAACCCAGCACAGATCTTGAAAAAACGATTCATCAGCTTTGGTGTGACATATTTCATCTTAATCAAGTGTCGATTAATGCTGATTTATATTCTTTGGGTGGAAATTCCCTCCAACTGATGCGACTGATCAGTCAGTATGTTATTACCTTTGGTTTGAAACAACGCACATTAAATATGAGTGAATTCCTGAAAAATCGAACAATAGCTCAACATGCACGTATTCTTGAAGCACATGTAAGCAATACTCTAGCCGGACAACAGCAGCAACCATCAGAATGGTCAACAGTTCATCGAACCGAGGGTAAGGAAAAAGTAGTTTGAATATAATGAATGTTATTTTTGTCGATTGAAGGTCCAGCTTCATATGCTCAAGAACGTATTTGGCTGGATGAACAAGTTCGATTCGATCAGCATAAAGCGTCGATTGCTATGTACAATCTTCCTTTTGTTTTCAAGTTAGAATCCGGTCAATTGTCAATTCAACGCCTTCGTCAAGCTCTTAGACTTGTCATCAGCAAGCACAGTACCTTGCGAACAGCGCTACAGTTTCATGATGATTGTCTCTGGCAACATATTCTTTCAATTGATGAGCAAAATTTCGAATTCAAGGAAAGCTCTATATTGAACGACGAAAGACTCACATCAATAGTTATTGATGAAGAAACAAATCGGTCTCTTTTTAATACTGAACAAGGACGTACTGTCCGCTTGCACATTGTGCGGCAACACAGCGATAACGAAATGGAAGATAAACTTGTGTCAAACGATATTATTATTTTCAATTTTCATCATTCAGCTTTTGACGGCTCATCAATCAAACCTTTCTTTACGGATTTTGCTGATGCTTACTGCAATCAAAAATTGGCACCATTCGATTCGAATGCAATGACCTATCTCGCTTATGCTTCATATGAACGTTCGATCGATTTCACAGAGGACAAACAATTTTGGGAAAAAACTTTGCACGGCTATGATTTCACAAAGCATATTGCTCTTCCCTACGATCACCGAGAATGTCTGACTTTTTCTCGTTCTGGTCGTGGGAAAACTATTTCTTTTGAACTCGAAACACAATTAATACAATCGATAACGCACTTTACGAGTGAAACAAATGTTTCCTTATATCAAATGTTTCTTGCCATCTATTTCGTCTATTTGTTCAAACTGGCTCAAAACGATCCGGACTTATATGTACTAAGTGTTGTTGCCAATCGACTTCATCATGAACTTCATTCGATGGTCGGTATGTTCGTCAACACAATTCCTTGTCGTTTACAGCTAGATCCTCATTGTCCATTCGATAAGTTTGTTGTTACTGTTCAACATTTTTTAATCAAAGCCCTCGCACATTCTCAATTACCTTATCAACAAATAGTATCGTCGAACTCGATTGCTGCCAATACATTATTCCGATTTGAAACAAGAGAAGAATATGCTGCAAGTGACATCATGTCAATGATCGACAATGTCTGTTTGAGTGATGCTGGTTCACCAAATGGCGACAGTAGTCAAGTTGCTATGTTTGATCTTATTCTTACTGTTCGCTACGATTCCAACAACAAGCATATGAAAATATTATTTACTTATTCAAAAGATCTTTTTGAGGAATGCACGATAAATACAATGGCACAACGTTTTCGCATTCTTCTGCGACAACTATTTGAGCAAAACCTTGGACGACAACAGCCAATCTTTAGTCTCTCATTGCTCTTACCCAACGAGGTGACACTTCAACAAGAACTCAACAATACTCAATTAGAATATCACGATGATAACGAACGACAAAGAGCAAAGAACACTATTGGCCAGTTTTTTAGTCAACAAGCTGCTAATCTGTCACAAAAGGTGGCCGTCGAGTTGGATGAGCAGTCTCTCACATACAGCGAGCTTTTGTACTATACACAACGGCTTACCCTTCATTTACTGAACAACTACGATCTTAGATCTGGTGACATCATTTGTCAATGTGTGGAACGCAGTCTATCAATGGTAAGTTCGTCTAAAATGAATCATTCGTGTCCTTCATATATCATTCTTTAGGTCATTGGTATTTTGTCCATTGAAATGACTGGCGGTGTCTATTGCCCACTGTCGCCTCGAGATCCAGAACAACGTTTACATGCGCTCATCAAACAAACGCAAAGTCGTGTTGTTCTCGTTCACGGGATGACGCGAGACAAGTTCAAAGACGATGACGTCACATTCGATATTGATACAGCACTCAACACTGACAAGCCAATCAATGGCAATGATTTCGACCAACTGTCATGCATTACGACGACACCCGAGGGCATCGCGTATGTTATATTCACTAGTGGTTCAACAGGTACACCGAAAGCGGTGAGTTAGCAACTTTGCTTCCAAACTGTGCGCCAGCAGTACTACTTTCATTACAGGCTCAAGTACGGCACAGAAATTTCATGGAGTGCATTCGATCTCTCGTTCATGTTGGCACGTTCAGTGAGACGGATATAATTGTGCAAATGGCCCGCTGCTCATTCGATATCCATATGCAAGATCTTGTGGGAACATTGATTGTCGGTGCTACATTAGTCATGCTTCATCCAAAAGGAAACATGGAGTATGAATACCTGGCTCAAGTGCTCAAAAATACGCAGATCACCTATATGCACGCTGTTCCAACTGTGCTTCATAGCTTTTTCGACTATATCAAAGAAAATAACCATCTCTCTACTGTAGTTTTTCTGCAATCAGTTTGTAGTAGTGGTGAGTACTTGATATTCTCGCAAATAGGTATGTTTTGCTCTTACTTATTACTGTTAGGTGAATCACTGTCTGTCAAGTTGGTTAACCTGCTGAAAGATTGTCTGGTTCCAACATGCCGAATATGGAATTTGTATGGACCCGCAGAGACTACAATTGACTGCACATTTCATCTTGTGGACCGTATGGTGACCTACACGAGTGTTCCAATCGGGCGACCACTTCCCAATTACCAATGTCTCATTTTCGACAAGTTCTCACAGTCTATTCATGTTGGCCAAGAGGGCGAGCTACTCGTAGGTGGTGTGGGCGTCTTCGCTGGCTACCTCAACCGCGACGATTTGACGGAAAACGTATTGGTCAACATCAATGGCCGCATGTTCTATCGAACAGGTGATCTTGTTCGGATGGATAGCCAAGGTCTAATCCACTACATTGGTCGCAAAGATCATCAGGTGAAGCTCAGAGGACAACGCATCGAACTGGGTGAGATCGAACGATGTCTACTAGACACGTCGATCTCTGCGTGTGTCGTCATCAAATGGGGTGATGATCATTTGGTTGCCTATGTGCAAAGTCAGAATATTGATGTGGAGCAATTGCGCGCGCATTGTCAATCTCGGTTACCTCCATTCATGGTTCCATCGATGTTTATCGTGCTTGAGCAATTACCATTGAATACGAACGGAAAAGTGGATCGAAAGGCATTGCCAAAGCCCGATTTCAGCGCAATGGCAAACAATGACAATGATTCTCACTCATATCCGCCTACAAAGCTCGAAGAGAAACTTCAGAACATTTTCATTGAAGCATTTCATTTTCAATCATTGCCTAATGTCAATATTTCATTCGGTCGATTGGGCGGTACATCACTCGGAGCTATGCGAGCTCTGTCGTTGATTCGACAAAATATTTACTCTCAAATTAACACAAATATTCTATTTGCGAATCCATCTATTCGACAACTTGCTGAAGTTCTTCAGCCACTAATCATTGACAATAAGCTTGATACAGATACACAATCGACCGAAAACGACAAGAATAAAATTTCTCGTATGATGCCGTCAATTGTTACTGAAACTATTGGTATTCTATTGCTTGCCAGTCTTTGGACCTTACCAATTATCCTAATCGTGTCTTACTCCTTGCTAATATTTTTATTCATTGTTCCTTTGATTCATTTATTTAGCTATGTAGTATGTAAACGTCTTCTATTTCCATTGGGTATGTCGCAAATGCAAGATGCACTCTTTTCATCTAGCTACTATCGTTGGTGGTTTCTGCAACGTTTGTGGACTTTAAACACTTTCTGGCTTAGCCATATTTCGGGTACGTCATTTTACAACTCATATCTGCGCCTATGTGGTGCTCGTATCGGTCAACATACGATCATTGATACGACATTTATCGATGCACCTGATCTTCTCCAGATCGCCAATTCAACTTACATCGGTGACGAAGCTGTTCTCTCTTCTCTCACTTACTATGATCGCACATTTAAACTTCATCCAATTCGAATAGGTTCGAATTGTGCGATTGATTGTCGAACTGTTCTCTACAATGGAGTCGAAATGGAGGAACGAGTCCTAGTCAAATCCATGTCGCCAGTTACTGGGTATTTTTCAAGTGGATCGATTGTCGATGGTCCATTGAAACAAATTGACAAAGAATGGTCCAACTCAAAGAACAATAATCATGCTCTATCCAAACCACAAAACGTTTTTCAACTTATATCAATTTTGATGATGCTCTTTCTCCATATTTTCATTGTCACATTCACCTGTTGGTGTTTGTCAACGAAGATGCCATTATTCATTCGACTAGCCATCGTATGGCTTACTTGGTCTACGGGTCGCATGATTCCGTGCGTCGTTCTTCTTAAGTTCATCGTTGGTGAAGCACAGCCTGGCATATATTCGCTGAATTCATGGTATTTCTTACGAAAATTCTGGCTTCGGCAACTTGTCGTTCGATCACTGGCATTCTCATTCGTATCTAATATCGGTCCCTATCATCTGCTATTTCCTCGTCTTTTGCAATGGTTAGGTGCTCGAATCGATGAAGCGAACGATGTTCGTATTTCTCAACCTCATTTTCTACTCGCTTTTCCAACTAATCTCGTCCATATCGAACAAGGTACTACAGTGAATGGATTCGTTCTGTTTATTCCATTTACAGTGACGACAGATGGTCTATGTAAAGTCAATTGTATCCGACTCGGAAGAAATGCTCAATTCGGAAATCATTGCACTATTCAGCAGGGTGCGAATATTGCTGAGCGAACGCTTGTTGGCACAATGACACGAATTAATGAAGAGACGAACACTGTAATTGATAATGATAGTCCGGGCCATGTTGTACTCGGAATTCCAGCTCGATTGATGCCATTTCAACGAGATATTCCAATTTCGGTATCAGCAAACAAATCTTCGCCGTACATTTACTCTGATTTGGCGAGTGCTATCTGTGTTCAATTTCTGGTCAAGGTAATCATATCATTTCTATTTGTCCATGCGTATCTTCTTCTACCGATCTATTTCCTCCTTGCGGAACATTTTATTTCACTCTTTTTCTTTGCATTACCACGTGAAATTTGTTTGCTTGATCGCATTAATCGCTGGCGATATCAATTGAGCGCAATTTTGACACTCGATTTTTATACGTTCATCGCACCACTTCTGGGTGGTACACAATGGTTAGTCATTCTTTTTCGTCGTCTCAAGGCGAACATTGGTCAAGATGTCATTATTGGTGAGATTAATGCAATTGAAGATTGGAAGCATGTCTCTCTTGGGTCACACGTTCGTGTAAGTGCAACAGCCAAAGTTCAGGTGAGAGACACTTAATTTTCTTTAAGATATCATCACCATCTGCTCTCTTTCGAATTTAAAGTGTCATACAGATGAAGGTCGGATACATCGTGTGGCCCCTGTCACCATTGGACCCTATTCGCGTCTGTTCCATTGGGCGTTCGTGTTTCCTGGAGCACATGCCAAGGGCAACAACACAATTCATCCGCTAACACTCATTATGAAAGACGATGAGTTACCAAAGAATACAGAATGGAGAGGTTGCCCAGCAATTTGATCGAATTTTTCAGACAAATCACTGAAAACTTTATTTCTTTTGACAAACTTAAAGAAGTTCAATTCTTTTTTGTATTCTATTGTCATTCTTAAATTAAATATGTGTAGGTTTAATGCAGGGCGGATAAAAAACACTAAAGCTTTCAACAAAATAATAGCCGCAAATTAGAGATTCACTGATTAACAGTCTGACTCTAAAACAGTGAAGAAAAAATTTATTCGAACGTGAAGCGTCACACTGTAAGTATAAAATATTGAAAATCGAATAGATTTCAGAACTTCAACGATTTTTATTGAAAGCAGTTTCAAGTGTTCATATTATTCTTCTGTCAGGGTTTCTGAAAAAAAACAATCTTTTCATGTTAGTTTTTCCAAAAAAAAGTAAATGAATCAAATTATAAGTAACAATGCAGCATAGGATTCTTTGTCATCTCTATGATTTCAAGAATAACACAATTTTAGTATACGCCCACATAACAATGTATATGAATTTTTTTTATTAATTAAACTATCAATATGACTGAAAAAAATAAAATAAAATACTCTACAAACAATAATATTAATGTGTCGATTAAGTAAGACTACATTGTGTAATCAATCATATCACTGAAGAAAACACCCTATTCGAACCATTTAAATTTTTTTTTTAAATTATTTTCAAGTGAATAACTTTCCAGACAAGGAATTCATTAGTATTGGCATTGCAATGATGTTGTGGTATCGCACTATCATTAATTCGGCGATAATATTTTCGTTTGGAACATCTGGAAAACAGTTAAAGAAAATTAAAATTGTTTAAGGAACAAAATGTTTCGTGTGCGATGATTACGAACTAGATTGACACACAAGAATATTGCAAAGAAATCAGATATATTCCAATGGTTTTTGAATGTCTTAATGACATACACAGATATTAATTTGCAAGTTTTGCCAAAACACATTATTCCTATTTTGATTTAATCAGACTCATCAAATAAATAAGACATGATTTAAATCAATTTTTGAAAAAAATATAGTAATATTTGAAATATCACTATTGTCTCTTGCAAGATGTTTTTACTGGTTAATAGAATAGCCAAACTGCGAATTTCTACTTTTCAATGGATAAAAGACGATTTATGTGAGCGTATGTTCGTTAAAGGTGTGGTATTAGCGTGGATGTAGGGTAAAAGAAGACGCACACTCACATCCAACAAATTGCATGATGATATTTTGACCTGAAATGTTGCCCATATAAAGGTCTCAAAACTCACTCATATTGCACGAAAGATGCCAGACTTTTGTTTTATTGTAAGCTAAAATTTTCAGGAGACTCTTCTCACAAGTAGATCAATGAGTGCGCAAAATCTTAGGTGAAAATATCGTTATTCGATTGATTGGTATATACTATGTCATAAGCTAAAAGGCTTTAGGATGCTTACCTTTTTGCAGATTTTTCATATCTCACTAGATTTTTCTATGTAGTCTCAGAACTCAGAAGAGATTTGTCAGTTGAAATGGTTCTCTCGCCAGTACAATTACTCTTGTGTTCTTTTCTTCAATTTTTTTACATTGATCTCGTTTCAAATTCGCTATTTTATTTGTCACTGCCGATAAACTTTTTCTTTTTTGTTTAAAGGTATATAGGTGTTCATTTTCAGAAGTTATCATAAATGAGAATTGTTTGTTTGAATATGATCGGAAAATACAAATTTATTTGGATTAACAATCATTGCTCAACATTTGTAAGAACTTTAAAAAAAAGTTATTTAATCAAATATTTTAGTTTTTAAAAAGTAAAAAAGCGTCCTCCGTTTTTGTTCAAGAAAAAAATTTCTTTAAGCTCAAAACTACTTTAGATTAAAATTCTCATAAACAATTTTTTATTATTTCCTTTATTTAATAAAACGCCTATGTTTTTTAGAATCTTTTCAATGAAGTCCTGTCAAAAATAAAACAAGCATTTTTATTATTGAATATATTCAATGCAACATCTACTTTTTAGAACGAGTTATTTCATAATAAAAGTTTTTTTATACAAAAATGTCATAATAATCTGATGACAATGGGATTTATTATATGTTGTAGTTACCATCTATATGATATAATAGATGATAATGAGAATAATTAATTCATCTAATAATCACATTGAAGATTAGTAGACAATTAAATGATTGACTATAAACAGTCCCTACTATTGATATTACACCATATTTGCAAGTCTAATTAGAAAAATGATCTCTATTTGGAACTATTTCAGTAAGTTTCTTCTGTTTTCACAGACAAAAACGAACAATACGAATGAATCACTTTTTATTCTCAATCATTGCATATCCATTTTTTTTATTCGTAAGTCAATTTATTAAATTCATTTTTGTTTGAATCTATGAAATATAATTAAGAATGATGATGATCTAAAGTGATCTTAATAATGTACATTGCCTAGTGAACAACTGCAGTCAAGTGACAAATTGTGATTGTTCGAGTACAAATATTGTTTTTTTACTGCGAATAAAATGATATTTAACATGTATGACTGTGAATGAAGTCAATCAACCTGCAGTTGATGGAAACACAGCATTGCATGCAGGTATTGTATATCTATTAATTAAACACGGAGCTTCAGTCTCGATTTGAAATGATTCAACGAAGCTCACTTCGTACGAAGAGACAACTTCGCCTTATATAAAGCATCTTCTAACGAGTACAGGTAATAAAGAATGGATCGAGTTGACTTTTGTGGATCCATCAACATGTAAAACAAAGCAAATTTTTGATACAGCATGAAAGAATACATTTCATAATATGGGTTTGCCATTTATCTCAATTACTTGCGTAATTACTATGCTCGTGAATATGTTACGAAAGGTATCGAAGTCAACCAAGCAAATTGAGTGGTAAGTAATGTATTCAAGCACAATTTAGTTTTTGAAAAAAACATAACAAACATTAAATGATATCAGCATTCAATATGAGTATTGCTCATTTTGTTCCAATATCAAAGAAAAAATCAATTCTAGTCAGAAGCATCTCAACAGTGTTCTTTATTGATATCATACTCATTTCAGTATTTGTTTTTTTTTGTTAAAACAGTTACGAAAGTTCTCGGTATAATACAGCATCGTTTGACGGATTGGTTGTGAATCCCATATAACTGCAATGAACTTAAGCTGAAGAGCTAAAGAGACTAGACTTTTTATTATTACATTTATACATTATTTAGTCTTATCAGATCAACATTTATTGTCAATTTATAGTAACTAGATTCTTTACAATAAATGCTCACTTTTTATTTAGAACGTTTATTCATCCCAAATGAAGAATACGTACTAGATTTCATAAAAGATGAACAAAACTCGAAATATTATCGTTAAATTCATGAGAAGAAAATTGCAAACTAAAGAACAATTTTCGTTTCTAATTGAACACAAAATTTCAAAGTCATTATTTAGATCAAATGAAAATATTTCTCTTTGAAGGATAAATCTGCACAGATTTAGAAAGTTTCCAGACAAAGAAATTACTAAGAGCTTATTTTTGTCCATTATGTAACTCTTTTAGCTGTTGGATCTACAATAATCTGTGTGCATACACTATGAAAGAATGACAAGTCTTTAATAATTTTATAAATATAGTACCAAGTCAACCAAATGTGCTTAAAAGTAACATTTGTCGGTTTTTAAAGTTTCAGTTCCTCAAAGAATTCTTGAAAATTTAATGAAAACTCTGTATCGATATTGAAACCAACGAATTTTCATTATCTACAGAGGTAGTGTACATGAATTTATTTAAAAAATTGAAGATGATCTTTTCTATCCCATTGAAGTGTCAAATAAATATTAAAATGCCTTTGAAATAGCAGTCGATCCAAGCTGAAGCAATCTACGAGTATGTCAAGTAGTTTTTCGTTTCGATTTCAATGTACAAGAGTGTTATAGCATTTTCCTGCAATAAGAGATTTGAAAATAGTAATGAAAGAATATTTCATTTTTTTCAATTGTTCATTTTCGTCACGGTCTAATTTTATCAATTAATTTTGCTCTTGTGATAAAGGTCTATATTGCTCCTGAAATCTTAAGAATTCCATTTGAACCACAAGATACCTTGGTTGCGAGGATTTTCTACTTAGTTGTTGCGTGTAACTACGATGCCATGCTTCGACTAAGATCAAGATATGCTTATATCGGTCATGTTTATTGAGGTTTAAGAAAGAGTTAGGACTATTTTCGAACTTACAAGATGAATCAACTGTTAGTAAATCGATCGTTCGTTTCGACAGCGAGAGATTTGTTGTGTATGGTGCATCTAGTGCATTTGGAAGACGTTATTTCAATCAAACTTTATTAGAAATTAGCGTTCGGTGTGTCTACAAGATTCGTCGTCCATAAATGCGTGCAGTCGATATTACAGAGATGTCAGAATATGAAAATATAGCCGATGTCTTATTCGAAGATTATGGTCAACCATCAAAACATGATCTCGTCGCCCCAAATAGTTTGATGTGATTTTGCTGAGTTTCCAAATACTCTACAGATTACGCCTTTCGTGTAAGTATGAACTTCTATCAAGTTATGACGAGGAACTTAGACTTTGGTTATGCGTAGATAGTGTTTACATGATGTGATAAACATTACGATTTTATTTATTTCATATCCTCCAACTCACGCACTGCTCACTGATTGTAGACGCTGACCTGCAGTCATCATTATCAACATGTCAAACAGAACTGTCATTATTTTGATCTCATTAGTCATCATTGATTTTATTCTCGTGCTGTAAAC